GGTTATGGAGTGGGTCTCTCCTTCTACCTTTACACGGGATCCCAGGACTGACCTGGGCTGTCAGACTTGGGTGGCAAGCACTGTAACCTGCTGAGCCAGCTCCCTGGTTTACATGTAATACATTCATGAAGGAATAACTCAAAAGTCATATGCACAATTACATCTATAGAAAAAGTTAATTACATAAACCAAAGAAAAGGGAGAATGGCAGCTATCTCTCTGTTGTTCCAATGATGTTCTTTTATTTTTTCTTTCAAGACTTTTCTAAAATGGAGTTGGCAAGATCCTCAAGGTATATAAAGGTGCTTGCCACCAGGTCAGACAAACTGAGTACAGTCCTGCTTGGTGGAAATAAAAAACTGATTTTTTAATGTTGTCATGTATCTCCACAAACATGCTATATGACACATGGGTAAATGCACACACACACACACACACACACACACACACAATAATAATAAATGTAGAAAAGTATGTTTCTGGAATTAACAACAATAACAAAGTAAACCACAACCCATCAGATCCTATCTTGTGTTAATTTCTTAAGATGGTCTCACATGATAGCCTAGACTGGTCCTAGATTCACGACAGAGCCCAGCCTGCCTCCAGCTGCCTCAAGTTCATGGCTTTCACCCTCCCTCTGCCTCCCAAATGCTGGGACTGCAGATATCTACTGACCACTGTATTGGGAATTTTTAAATTAACAGATATCTTAGCAAGAATATAAGCTGCAACAATATTATTTAATTGTACCTTTGAAATGCCGGTGTCTATGGTTATACTAAACAAGCATCTGTTACACGCCTTACTGTTTATGTCATAAACTCAGCATAATTTTCAAGACTTTAACACTGGTATTTTTTAAACTATTATAAAACGGAAAAGTCTGGGGGTACTTCTAGTAATAAAAGAAAAAGCAGGCAAGGTATTTATGATGGATAAATAAAAATATCTTCTCTAAAACAGTAACTGACAATTAAGTTACTTAAGATAGAAAAAAAAATGTTTTCTTAAAAAAAAAAAACTTCCTCAGAAGACTTTCAAACAGCTTAAACCATTTGCAAACCACAGTTTCATCTACGTCAGTCTGTAACATTTTAAAACCACACAAAAAGGAAAGGAAATTTTTAGTTCAGCAGACAACCCTGCAAAATGGGACTGCCATCACTCTGGCTAACTAAACAGCTCACGTTTCTCTGAAGACCCGGACCCAGGCCTGGCTCAGAGGACACCACCAGGTAAGTCCTTTTCAATGGCTAACTAATTCAGTTTTTTCCCATGGGAACCAAAGTCATGATTTTCAGTGTTGGACTCCTATCAGCATTTTCTGTTCTCGTTTGGCCTCATCTGTCTTTAAATAAATATATATATATATTCAAATCAGACCAATTATCCAGGCGGGGACAGCTTGAGCTAGTCACTTTTCTAACTAGATCTATACGGACAGCCATGGTGTATCTTCCCAGCAGGTCATGACCAGACATTCCTCTACCAGTCCTTCATTAGCACATCTCAAAGCATGTCTACCGTGGCTCCCACGGAAAATCTACTCTGTTTTCTTCTCTTTTGTTTTATCCCCAAAGTAATGAGCCATCTATGAGAAGGAGCCAAGGAGACGTTTAATTTCCATTCTGGATTTTGCTAGAACATAGCTGAGTATGTCTACTTTGCACAGATACCACTGCCACAGAGTTTATCGAGCTCTTGGATCTGAGATTTGTGATAGAGAGCCTGGGACGTTGTTATGATACGATTCTGCCTACTGATCAACATATGCTAAGTTCTGAGAAACTGTTGTTTCATGGCAATCTAGACACAGTTAAGAAGCAAATGCCAAGCACTCAGGACTCTTCAGCATTAGTTACATTGTAACTATATGAAGTAAATTACCCCACTCTGGAATAGATGGTCAGTTATAAATACAGAGAATACCAATCAAGACAAATTGTTATAATTCTTCTCGTTACCATATGTCTTACTGATAAAACGAGAGCTTGCCATATAGTTATTCAAGCAATAGGGCACTTACAGAAACAAGTTACTATTTTCTATCACTATGCAACATCAGAAATGCCTATAAGGAAGTCAGAGAAGCCTAGCGTGAATTCAGATGTGAAGAGTCTCCCACAGGTCTACAGGCAGGACTCACAAAGAGGAAGAAGGAGAGAGGCTCAGAGTCCAGAGATCAGCAAGTACAGATCCTCATCTTGCTCCAATAAGCTGCGGAAATCTTGGGCACTTTGCAGTCTCCTCAATTGATTTGAGGACAGAAAAGAATCCACCCATCGTTAAAGTGCCACAATTCTAAAGTTCTACCACATGCTTAGGTATAGAGATGGGTAGGACTTATTCACAGGCAGTGCAGACTCAAACAATCTAAACTGAGACTCGGATTAAGGGAGGGATAGATCGGTGGAAAATCGCATGCTATGTATGCAGGAGCCTTGAGTTCAAACCCAGCACGGGAAACAAAGACAGACACCAGGAATATTAAGGGAATATTCAGTCATGGTAACTTTGACAGTGTACAGAAATTACATAAAAGACCTAAAGTGATATTTTAAATGTATGTGTATTTATGCGTGTATAAACACCACACACATACACACACAGTAAGATTACACTGCAAAACATTCTGTCTATACTTCTCTTATTACTAGAGTGCTTGGGAAGAAAGTTAAAACTAAGAAGTTTACTGCAGCTGTTTTATGTGAAAACTTCTAAGAATATTCCTGCCACATAACCCTCAGGTAAGGATTGGTTTTTAGAGCACCAATCATTAACATTAGAACCTCCATTAACATTACTATGGCTTCTAAAATATGACTGAGATGGACTCTTGGCTCTGTAATTTGCCAGCTCTCCAAGCAATGGATTTTAGCTTGGTATACCTCAGATTATAGCAACCACACAACAGAACTCATAAAATGTACTATAAAAAAAAAGGGTAGTCATCAAAAATAAAAAGTAAATGCTTTAACATTTTCATTAAGGTTGGTTGCTACAGAATGACAGTACCAGTGAAACCCAACAGCCCTAAGTCCTGTGGGGAAAAGGGAAGAGCGTGTAACCTTTAAGTAACACTTAAGACAGTTAGACAGACATCTCCCTTATCAGCTTACTTGCAATCATTGCATCATTCCACGATAAACACGGCAGGGCCATTAGATGGCTCAGGAGTGAAGGTGTAAGTTGGGCGCGTGAGTGGACCGAAGTTCCATCACAGAATTCCGGAGAAATGGGAAGGAGAAAACGGACTCCACAGAGTTGTCTGTCCACAGACTTCCACATGCACATGAACAAGCATAATAATAATAATAACAAATAAATTTTAAAGGCACACATTGTATCATGAGCTATTTTGGGGTGTGAAAGTTGGATAGTCGTTAGAAGTTGTTTGATTTAAAGAGGGTTTTATGGCTGCTGGGTCAGTCACTGAAGTCTCAGTATCCTGCAACGTTACAGGTGACTTTGCTCCTGATAAAACTCTGGAGACTGAGAAGCCCAGGTTTTACACTGTCTGATTTCCGGGACGTTCAGAAAATTCCACATAGATTTGCTTTATGAAAGTGGTCTTTTTGGCTTCACTTAAAAAGGAATCTTAGTTAACACGAAAATGGATGGCCCGCATCAGGAGGCATCACACGAATGTACCACGTGTGCTCCTAAACGTGTTGCGAGACTAGACCACACCAGAGGGAGCTCAGTCTAACCCGAGCCCACAAATCAAGCCAGTATTCTCTACCTGGAAGGAGCATGACAAACTTTTCTTGTCATTATCAGGCTCGAGTGTGGTGGTTCTCTACTATGAAAGTTAGAAGGGGCTTTTGCTCCGTTTTGCTTTAGATTAGACAAGGTCTCATGGATACCAGGCTGGCCTTGCCATTTAGCCAAAGAAGAGCTTAAACGAGCGTTCCTCCTGAGTGACGGGATTATAAATGAGTACCAGCAGGTCCAATCAACGTACAAGTTTTAATACAGGTACAACTGACCCATTCTTGAAAAATGCTGTAACCAATAAATATAGACCCCTGTTCTAGAAGCTTTAAGAGTCACTTTCACAGACCTACTAAAAACACTTCGTAGAAAAAGTTACAGCCATTATGTTCAACAAAGTACCTGTCAAACTCCAACAATACAACTTTTTCCATTAGAATCTTAAAAAGTAAAAAGAAACAGAAGAAAGTAATTTCATTAACATAGCAAGCATAATATAAGAAAAAAAAATATCCGATGGGTACTCAGACTTAAAAATGGCAACTAAATTCAATTTGGAAGATGTTCAGCATTTACGGTGTTCACCAGGCACACACGGCTGGAGGCCACAATGCTGGCTTCACAGGTGTATACCATTATGAAACCGGAACACGATGAGAGCGATAGTAGGCATCAATTCAGAACCAGGGCCTAACCCTTCAACTCCTCCCATTGAAAATAAGAGACAAAATTTTTTTATTTCTAAAAATCTATTAAGAGGATTCAAAACACAGGACCTGCTTTCAAAATAACAATATAAAAAACCTTTGTTCCATTTACTGTCATCTCTTTTCTCCAACCAGCCTAGGTTCTGGCAGCAAAAGCTACAAAACCTACAAAAAGAAAGCAGAAAGCTACATTGAACTCTTTTTCAGACAAAACCACAGGACCTTCCTCTCTCTACTTCCCAGAACCTCTGGTCACTTACCTCCTCTGCAAAGAAATTTCACCCTCAACTGGTCACAGACAGCATGCAATACAAACCCACAAGGTCAAAAACATCCCTTCCTAAGAGCAAATTTACTTGGGATTTCCTGAAAGTCACAGAAATCAGACAATGGAGAATTGGGGACGATCTAAGCTGTACCCACTAGCCCAGTGAAACTCTTCCTAAGAACTAGAAAGACCATGACATTTTGAGTACAAATGTTTCTTTTAAAAAAGTATTTCCTAATTTTAGTTACTAACATCTCCCTCCTACTCTTTTTAACAGAGCCGTGGACAGTTGTTTTTAAATACTGAACTCAAGCTTATCTCCGAAGATGACAAATAGTTCACTGTTCTGTCCAGTTTACAGCGATCTGGAACCATTTACATACTTTTTTTATTTAGTTTTCCTCATTGGAATCATTGGAAGTTGTTTTGCAACATGGGCTTTTATACAGAAAACCACAAATCACAGGTGTGTGAGCATATACTTAATCAACCTGCTTACAGCTGATTTCCTGCTCACTCTGGCATTGCCAGTAAAAATTGTTGTTGACTTGGGTGTGGCACCCTGGAAGCTAAAGATATTCCACTGCCAAGTAACAGCCTGCCTTATTTATATCAATATGTACCTCTCTATCATCTTCTTAGCCTTTGTCAGCATTGACCGCTGTCTTCAGTTAACACACAGCTGCAAAATATACCGCATACAGGAACCCGGATTTGCAAAGATGATATCGACTGTCGTGTGGCTCATGGTCCTTCTCATAATGGTGCCGAACATGTTGATTCCCATCAAGGACATCAAAGAAAAGTCAAACGTAGGTTGCATGGAGTTCAAAAGGGAGTTTGGAAGAAACTGGCATCTGCTGACAAATTTTATATGTGTGGCAATATTCTTAAACTTCTCGGCCATCATTTTGATATCCAACTTCCTTGTAATTCGGCAGCTCTACAGGAACAGAGACAACGCAGACTGTGCAAACGTGAAGACGGCTCTAGCCAACATTCTCTTGGTGACGGTCAGTTACATCATCTGCTTTGTTCCGTACCACGCTGTCAGGATCCCGTACACCCTCAGCCAGACAGAGGTCATATCTGATTGCTCAACTAGGATCTCCCTCTTCAAAGCCAAAGAGGCCACACTGCTCCTGGCTGTGTCCAATTTGTGTTTTGATCCAGTCCTGTACTATCATCTCTCAAACGCATTTCGACTGAAGGTCACTGAGACTTTTGCCTCACCTAAAAAGGCTAAGGCTCAGAAAGAAAACTCAAGATGTGAAAGTGATGTTTAAAACACGGGGTTTCGCATACCAGCCCTGCTTTCTGACTGAACCACAAAGCTGGTCATAGTTTTCACAGATAAAAGTAGTTAATGATAAAAGCTGCTGATGGCTAGCAAACATGGACTGGTTCCTGTGGGAAGTCCTTTTCTCAATACAAGCCCGCCCTGTCCTCACACAGTAGCTGGTATTCTTTAGCCCAAATATCTGCACAGGAAAGTTACCAGAGCACGTTGAACCAAGGTCAACCTGGATGACCAAAGTGAGGAGAGCCAGGGCAGAGACTCTGAGACTCATTGCAATGGCTGCAACTCACTTCTTGATGAAAACATGCCAATTAATCTGCATCTAAGCTGCCAGGAAACTCGTCAGCAACACATCCTTAAAGGTCTTCCGCAACCTAAAAAATAAAGACATCAAAATACCCGCAATGTCTTCATTTTTATCCTACCACTTTGAAAGTTAGCAAATGCGCTATTCAGTAGTCCTACTTTTAACATCTCATTTTTTGTAGCAGTAACAACTTTTAGTTATAAAAAGTTAACAGTGACAGAACTCGGATCACAGTGGTTAATTCCACATCCTGGAGGTTGAGGTCAAAGGATTGTTATGAGTTTGTGACTAGCATTGGCTAGTGAATTGCAAGCCATCCTGGTCTATAAAATGAGACCCTATTCCTAATTAATTTTAAAAGGGGGTTGCAAATACATGGGGTATGTTTTTAAGAACACGAGGGAGCTGTTAAATTATGTTAATTGTTGAAACTGTTTTGGAAGTGAAAATCCACATCAAAGGTGTTAGAAATATAAGACTAGCCAAAGAATCTTAAAGTAGAGACAAGGACTCATCACTAGGCCATGCTAGGAACATAGACTAGATTAGATCATGGTACCTCTTAAATCTAGACACATGGCCAATCAGAAAGAATCTGCAGTACAAAGTACAAGTCACTCCAGCTGTGAGCACATCCTCCCTATCGCTAATACATACCCAGGTGAGGCACGGCATTGAATAAACTTACTAGGAAAATCAGAAAAGTACTGATCAGCATGAATGAGGTTTCAGTTTGTGTTTTGGTCTAGTTCCCTCTCTCTTCGTGTGTGTGTGTGTGTGTGTGTGTGTGTGTGTGTGTGTATTGGGGGTAGGGGATGGGGAGGACACCATGACCTCCTACAGCTTGCTGTATGTAGCACTAAGCTCACTATGTAGTCACACATAATCTTAAACTCCTGATCTTCCTCCGTCTACCTCCCAAATTCCAGGATTATAGACATGTGCTACCAAAGGCAGCTCTTCTGTGTGTATTTGTAACATTACAAAAAAAACCCACATAAAATAGTTAATAATGGGCTAGAGAGACAGCTCAGCAGCTAAAAGCATTTGTTAGTCTTGCAGAGGACCCAGGTTCAGTCCCCAGCACCCCATATCAGGAGGCTCACAATTGCTTGTAACTCCACTTGCAGATCCAAAACCCTCTTCTCGCCTCCTCCGGTACCGGATATGCTGATGGTACACATGCACACATGCAAGCACTCACACATATCCACATCAAATAAATAAATCTAGGAAGGGAGGGAGGGAGGGAGGGAGGGAGGGAGGGAGGGAGGGCAAGCAGGCAGGCCGGGGTGGCACACACATGCCTTTGATCCACATGGAAGGTAGAGGCAGGTGAATCTCTGTGAGTTTGAGGCCAACTACCTAGAACAGGTAGTTCTAGGACAGCCAAGGCTACATAAAGAAACCCTACCTAAAAAATAGAAAAGAAGAAGATGAAGAAGAAGAAGAAGAAGAAGAAGAAGAAGAAGAAGAAGAAGAAGGAGAGAGTGAGAAAGGGAGGGAGGGACAAAGGACTACATTGCAATAGTGATGAGTGATGGTGACTCTGGCCTAGATGTGGTAGCACATGCCTGAAATACCACACGTGGGAGCGGAGGCATCCGAGAAAGAAGTATTACAAGCCTGTACAGATTTTATAGCCGTGTGTGCTCGTGCACACACACACATACAGGAGAGGGTTGGGGAGGAAAGGAGGGAGGGAGGATGAATGTGTTCTTAGATTGCAGTATTATTTTTGTACTTCAACAATTAGTTTCAAAGTCCTGTGTATAAGTTCACAAATACATTCTTGGTCTGATGAAAGTAATTTAAAAAGCACTAATTGTCTATATTTTAAAAAGAAACATCTAACAGCAGTTTCTGGAAAGTATCCATGACAGGAACTCCAATCATTACGACATGTCTGACACCCTGTACATCCTTGCCGGGTTACAGGCGAGCGAGCAGAACACATACACAATAGAACAACATTCCCCCAGAACACATACACAATAGAACAACATCCCCCCCCCACAGCCCCCGCTCTGGTGAGCAGATCAAAACAGCCATGAAACAGAATGCTCAGTACAATTTTTGAATCTTTGCTCAAGGAGCCCTTTATGCTCCCTCCTTGGTCGATGTGACACAAGGTGGGTTCATTTTTCAGACTGGCCCACAGTCTACAGGCATTTTCTTGAGGAATGATTAATGTGGAAGGGGCCATGCCACCCTGGGCAGTGCCTAGAGGTATATGAGAACTGGCTGAGCAAAAAAAGAAAGAAAGAAAGAAAGATAGAAGGAAGGAAGGAAGGAAGGAAGGAAGGAAGAAGCATCCTCCGTGGCCTCTTCTTCAGTTCCTAGCTCGATTTCTGCCCTAATTCCCTCCTTCGTGATAGACTGCAATCACCGGTGAAATGAAGCAAACCTTTTTTTAGATAAGTGCCACATACCAAAGCTAAACCAAAACCAGGTGAACGATCTAAATAGGCCTGTTAGTCGCGAAGAACTAGAAACCGTTATCAAAAATCTACCTTCCAAAAAAAGCCCAGGACCAGATGGTTTCAATGCAGAATTCTACCAGAACTTCCAAGAAGAGCTAATACCTATACTCCTTAATGTATTTCACAATATAGAAACAGAAGAGTCATTGCCAAATTCCTTTTATGAAGCTACAGTTACCCTGATACCAAAACCACACAAAGACCCAACCAAGAAAGAGAATTACAGACCTATCTCACTCATGAATATCGACGCAAAAATTCTCAATAAAATACTGGCAAACCGAATCCAAGAACACATTAGAAAAATTATCCATTATGATCAAGTAGGCTTCATCCCAGAGATGCAGGGCTGGTTCAACATACGCAAATCTATCAATGTAATCCAGCATATAAATCAACTGAAAGAAAAAACCCATATGATCATTTCATTAGATGCTGAAAAAGCATTTGACAAAATTCAACACCCCTTTATGATAAAAGTCTTGGAGAGATTAGGGATACAAGGGTCATACCTAAATATAATAAAAGCTATTTACATCAAGCCGTCAGCTAACATTAAATTAAATGGAGAAAAACTCAAAGCCATCCCACTAAAATCAGGAACACGACAAGGATGTCCACTCTCTCCATACCTCTTCAATATAGTGCTTGAAGTTCTAGCAATAGCAATAAGACAACATAAAGGGATCAAGGGGATTCGTATCGGAAAAGAAGAAGTTAAGCTCTCGTTATTTGCAGATGATATGATAGTATACATAAGCGACCCCAAAAACTCTACCAAAGAACTCCTACAGCTGATAAACACCTTTAGTAATGTGGCAGGATACAAGATCAACTCCAAAAAATCAGTGGCCTTCCTATACACTAAGGATAAAGAAACAGAGAGGGAAATTAGAGAAGCATCACCTTTCACGATAGCCACAAATAGCATAAAATATCTTGGGGTAACTCTGACCAAGGATGTGAAAGATCTATTTGACAAGAACTTTAAGTCTTTGAAGAAAGAAATTGAAGAGGACACCAGAAAATGGAAAGATCTCCCTTGCTCCTGGATTGGGAGGATCAACATAGTAAAAATGGCAATTCTACCAAAAGCAATCTATAGATTCAATGCAATCCCCATCAAAATCCCATCAAAATTCTTCACAGATCTGGAGAAGACAATCATCAACTTTATATGGAAAAACAAAAAACCCAGGATAGCCAAAACAATCTTATACAACAAAGGAGCGTCTGGAGGCATTACCATCCCTGACTTCAAACTCTACTACAGAGCTACAGTATTGAAAACAGCTTGGTATTGGCATAAAAACAGAGAAGTCGACCAATGGAATCGAATAGAAGACCCTGACATTAACCCACAAACCTATGAACACCTGATTTTCGATAAAGGAGCTAAAAGTATACAATGGAAAAAAGAGAGCATCTTCAACAAATTGTGCTGGCAAAACTGGATGTCAACCTGTAGAAGAATGAAAATAGATCCATATCTATCACCATGCACAAAACTCAAGTCCAAATGGATTAAAGACCTCAATATCAGTCTGAACACACTGAACCTGATAGAAGAGAAAGTGGGAAGTACTCTACAACACATGGGCACAGGAGACCACTTCTTACATAGAACCCCAGCAGCACAGACATTAAGGACCTCATTGAATAAATGGGACCTCCTGAGACTGAGAAGCTTCTGTAAAGCAAAGGACACTGTCGCTAAGACACAAAGGCAACCCACTAACTGGGAGAAGATCTTCACCAACCCCGCAACTGACAAAGGTCTGATCTCCAAAATATATAAAGAACTCAAGAAACTAGACCGTAAAAGGCTAACCAACCCAATTATAAAATGGGGCATTGAGCTGAACAGAGAATTCTCAACAGAAGAACTTCAAATGGCCAAAAGACACTTAAGGTCATGCTCAACTTCCTTATCGATCAGGGAAATGCAAATCAAGACAACTTTAAGATACCATCTTACACCTGTCAGAATGGCGAAAATCAAAAACACCAATGATAGCCTTTGTTGGAGAGGTTGTGGAGAAAGGGGTACACTCATCCATTGCTGGTGGGAATGCAAACTTGTGCAACCACTATGGAAAGCAGTATGGCGGTTTCTCAGGAAATTCGGGATCAACTTACCCCTGGACCCCGCAATACCACTCTTGGGAATATACCCAAGAGAGGCCTTATCATACAACAAAAGTATATGCTCTACTATGTTCATAGCAGCATTGTTTGTGATAGCCAGAACCTGGAAACAACCTAGATGCCCTTCAATGGAAGAATGGATGAAGAAAGTATGGAATATATACATATTAGAGTACTACTCAGCAGTAAAAAACAAGGACTTCTTGAATTTTGCATACAAATGGATGGAAATAGAAAACACTATCCTGAGTGAGGTAAGCCAGACACAAAAAGAGGAACATGGGATGTACTCACTCATATTTGGTTTCTAGCCATAAACCAAGGACATTGAGCCTATAATTAGTGATCCTAGAGAAGCTAAATAAGGAGAACCCAAAGAAAAACATATAGGCATCCTCCTGAATATTAACCTTCAGCAAGCGATGAAAGGAGACAGAGACAGAGACCCACATTGGAGCACAGGACTGAATTCTCAAGGTCCAAATCAGGAGCAGAAGGAGAGAGAGCACGAGCAAGGAACTCAGGACCGTGAGGGGTGCACCCACACACTGAGACAATGGGGATGTTCTACTGGGAACTCACCAAGACCAGCTGGCCTGGGTCTGGAAAAGCCTGGGATAAAACCGGACTCTCTGAACATAGCGGACAATGAGGACTACTGAGAACTCAAGAACAATGGCAATGGGTTTCTGATCCTACTGCACGTACTGGCTTTGTGGGAGCCTAGGCAGTTTGGATGCTCAACTTACTAGACATGGATGGAGGTGGGGGGTTCCTTGGACTTCCCACAGGGCAGGGAACCCTGATTGCTTTTCGGGCTGGGGGGGACTTAATTTGGGGAGGGGGAGGGAAATGGGAGGCGGTGGCTGGGAAGAGACAGAAATCTTTAATAAATAAATAAATTAAAAAAAAAAGAAATGAAGCAAACCTGTGGAATGAAGCAAACCTTTTCCTTTTGGTGGTGGTTATCACAGCAGCAGATAGCAAACTAGAATAAAAGTTAACCAAAAACTGGACCCAAAGGTGGCGTAGCAGGTAAGAATGCTTCCCGTGCAATCATGACGACCTAAGTTTAGATCTCAGAATCCATGTAAAAAGCCAGGAATTGCCACTCACTCCTGTACCCCAGGACTGTAGGGAGCAGAGAGTAAGGTCACTGGAGTCCAGTGGCCACCAGCTTCGTTCTAGCTACCGTAAGAAACCTGTGTCAAATGGAGAAGCATTACGTGGTACACACTCCTCTGGCCCCCGTGAATGTGTGCACAGGTGAACATACTTGCATACACACTCAACCCACAATATACACCTTATATGCGTGCATAAGCACACACAAAAAAAATATTAAAATTAAAATTAGATCCTTTAACAGCTGTCAAGGGGCGTTGTCCAGCAGCACTTCTCTCTAAGGAGATAGACAAGGTCACGTGAACAACACAACAAAGAAGTCGATTTTGGGTACCTGTTCAGATCCCAGAAGCACAGAGAAGGCAGACAGACTGTAACATCTGCTTACACAGGCCAGTGCATGTAAGTCTCAACTACTTCCAGCACTTCACTGTATTGTTTTATACTTTGCTGGGGTTTTTTTTGGTTTTGTTTCTTGAGACAGAGTTTCTGTGTAGCTCTGCCTGTCCCAGAATTTACTTTGTAGACCAGGCTGGCCTCAAACTCACAGAGATCCACCTGCCTCTGTGTCTCCCTAGTGCTGGGATCAAAGGCGTGTGCCACTACTGCCAAGATTACACTTAATATTTCAAAACAACCCCAAGACATGATAGCTCATGCATGAATATGCCAGAAACATCTGGAATACATAAGGCCAACCTCTCCTCTACCACAAATGGACTGCCAGTTTACTCTGCTGTACTGCAAGCTGGTGACAGAAAGAACCATAGAAAATTACTGATAATATTCCGAGATGCACAACAAAGGATTCTGTAAATTTTTTTTTACATAGCATAAGCACACAAACAAAAAGGGCATTTTAACTGACATAAGACAAAAAAAATATGAACTTAATCAATTTGAGTCATTTAGGTAGATATTCCAAAATATCAACTATATTTAGTTTTCACAAAATCCTCAGCTTCCTGCCCAAAACTTGTAAGTGTCCAAAGCATTCAGGAAACAGTTACCCGAAAAATTAAAAATGTCTCAGCTTTTAGCCCAATGTTCATTACAACCATCAAAAATATTCTCGTCTCTCTTAGGGATAAACACTTCACTACTTAAGACTTCAACACACAGTTCCTGCCACGCTCTCTTCAGGTGCTACCTAAGCTTTGAATCCACCAAGTCTAAAGCCAAGCCCACCCCACCTACCAACCCTGTCATCAACTCAGAAACACCTCCTCAGTGACTCACTTTGAAAACAGAAGGGACCCAGAATGACAAAAGCCTGCCTGTTAGTGACACAAAGGTTTCCACCCAATTGCTAAACTGGCCCTAAATTCTTACTCATCTGTAAAATGCAAAAAGTACCAATACTCAAACAATATGAGTGAAAAAAAATTAACCCGCAAACGACTTTCAAATTAAAGTAGGAAACATATCTAGGCATTACTTGTAGTCACTCAAATCCTTTTAATATAAGGATATTGATATTGGGAATTCTATTAAATCTAATTAGTGACCAATAATCACACCATAACATCCAAGCTATTATCTGTATACACAGGCCATATGATCCAAATTACAGCCATCAAACCAACAGCGCAAAGTTTCACCTGACATCGTTACGTGTGAGCGGACGAGCGGGTGGGTAATCCGACAGCCAAGTCACTAATGACCACGCAATGAACTCATCCTGGTACATGCCGATGGAACCGTGACTTACCAGAGGTATGGGAAAGTGGGTTGCGTACTGCAGGTGGCGGAGGAGGTCGTAATTTGACGGAAAGATCAACTCCCTTGTTTTTTCTCTCTTCAGCAGTTTCTCACCATTAACCGACATTCTTCGGCTCAGGGAAGGGTTGGCATTCTCACAGGACTCTCCAGGCATGGGAGAGAAAATCTATGTCATGTAAAAACAAATATTAGACATCATTAATGAAGAGGGCCCAGCCACTGTGCCACGTACCAGAACGTCAGACACAAGACGCTCACAAAATAATGATCAGAAAGATAAGTAGAAATTCTATTAATTTCTACAAAATTAAATCAGAAAATGAAAATCACACATGAGAAAAGCAAGTGGGGGGAGAGTGGTCAAACCAGTAAGAGGACTGGCCATGCAAGCAAACTTAAAAGTGTTAACCTCAAAGGGTTACATTTCCTCCAAAAACACATGCTTAATAACACTTAATAAGATTAATCCATAGATAAATATTCCAAAATGTACAAACAATGCTTTTATAAACAGTAAGATTCATGAAAAACACATTACACTGAGAGATGGTAGAAAAATGAATGAGTCATACCGCTATTCTTTAGAAACTCGATGTACACCCCCACACTCCCCAGAGAGGATGATCCCAAAATGAAAGTGTCAAAGCCAGTCAGCTTTGTAGCCTTTTCAAAGGGGGCAAAGCGGACCGGCAGTGAGGCTGGCCTGAGACAGAACAACCACAGGCAAGCAGGTGACTTAGTGAAGGTGATATCGCCATCACAAGTGAATCATTCCAGCACACCAGGCAAGAAACAAAAGGATGGAGACAAGCTGGGGAGGGGTGGTGGGTTAGCTGCCAATGAGAACCAAAGGTTGAACCTACTGGAAACTCAGAACCAAAGTCACTTTTAAAGTCACTCTTGTCTACTTCGTCAAAAATGTGAGCGGTTCCTGAGCCGAGGCCCATGTGCGCCATGATACTGTGTTCCTGGTGAGTGCCGGAAAAAGAAAGCCGCGTTGTTAAAAGCTGCAGTTTAAAAGCCGGAGGTTGAAAGATGACAGGAAGTTGTTCAGCGTCCTGTCTGTCACTCTCACTGTCTACTCCTCTAAAAGATTTAAAGGAAACTTGAAGGCCTGCATTGTGTGTTAGAGTCACAATCTGTCCCCCGTGAAGAGAAGGCCTTAACTCCCATGATGTTTTAAAGGAAGAGCACAGAGCTTCTTCTTCTTTTTTTTTTTATTAACTATGAAAGCTCAACCTATAGCTTAGGCTTTTCCCACTAGCTCTTTTATTTATTTATTTATTTATTTAGGATTTCTGCCTTCTCCCTGCAACCGCTTCCCATTTCCCTCCCCCTCCCCCGATCAAGTCCCCCTCCCTCATAAAACAAATCGGCCACAACTTCTTTCACTGAGCTATTTCCAATAATAATATTAAAAAAAATGAGATTCTTAAAGATCCAAGAATAAAATGAGATGTTTTAAAAAACAAACAAATATACCTACAACTTTAAATAAGCATAGCATAAGAGTACCTGGCAAATTCATATTTAATAACAGAAATAAAGCTGTAATTTGAGTACTCCCAGAGTGTCATCAATTTCCACTGCTTCTCCCTGTCACCTAAATCATTTTATCTTGAAATTTTAAATATCTGGGACAATGTCTAGAATGTCAGAACCTGACAGAACGCCGTACAGTCATCAAACCCACAGCAGAAATCGCTGCAAAGAACAATCTACCCTATTTTAGAAAGAGATTAAATTTTGAGAAGAAAATCTGTGTTATTAAGAACGAGGGACTCTCCCTCTATTTGGCCAAGAGTGGTGTAGGGAGACCCTCCTTGGAATGAAAGCCCAAGGGGTGCGAGAGGAAAACAAGTTCACCTGTGAGGCACAAAACAAAAAGAAAATTTCAGGCTACACACATCTAAAGCTAAAAGCATATCATTTTAAACTCATGAAGAAAAAAAAAACTGTGGTCAGTCTCATCTTTTCAATAACTATACAACGTAGAAAATTCTAGAAGATATATAATCAAATTTGTCGTCTGTGATTGGAGGGGAAATAAACTTTGTAGAGAGAAAGGAACTAAAATCCCATTGTCTTCCCATCACCAAACTGCCTATCTGAAACTGACTCCCCCAGCGGAGTTCACTTTGGGATGAGGTACGGACATCAAGCCCAGGGGTATACCTCCATCTTCATATCATGGTCCTTGGAATAGTGTTCGTCTGCATTCTCCCCTGCAGAGGCAGTGACGGACAGATCTCCTCGCGAGATGAGGGTGCACATGTAGGCATCATGGGAGAAGACGTCGTGGCGGATAAACTCACAGAAGAGCAGCACCAAGTTCACAAACTCCACCTTCTCGCACTCGCTGTTGGGGTCCGCTGCGTGAGAAACAAATGCAGTCAGAGAGTCCTTGGCCAGGCAAAAAATAAAGAGAAGACAACAATCCCTTCAAGGTTTCATAACATTTTCATTAGGAAGGGTAGCAGAGGAGCATACTGGCTGGTTTTATGCCAGCTTAACACAAACGAGAGTCATCAAAGAAGGAGCCTCACTTGAGGAAATGGCTCCCTAAGATCCAGCTGTAAGAAACTGAAAACAACCCAAACAAAGAATGGGTAAAGATAATGTGGTACATTTACACAACCGAGTACTACTCGGCTGTTAAAAATAAAATCAAATCATGAAATGAGCAGGTAAATGAATGTAAACTGGAAAAATCATTGTAAGTGTGATAAGTCAGACAGTCCCGGAAGGACAAACATGTTGTGTATTCAAATTCTATGGGGATATAGTCTGTTAAGGGAAAGGTAATCATGCTACTATCCACAGACCCAGAGAGGTGAAGTAATAAGAGGGGCTCTAAGTTATGCACAAGGAAGGGTCTTCTTCCCTGGAAAATGGAAATAGAAGATATTTTGTGGGCGGATGGGGTGTGGATAGGGATGGGAACAGGAAGGATCCGGTGGGGAGAAGAGAGAACTAGTACTGGGAAAAACGACTAGATTGGGGGGGGGGGGCATTTGGGGGCCCTGTAGAAACTGAGCATAGTGGAAACTCCCTGGAATCTATGAGAGTGACCCTAATGAAGTCTCCCAGTAATGGGGAGTATGGGGCCCAAACTGACAGCTTCTGTAACCAGGCAAGGCTCCCAGCACTGGGACTGGGACATCAACCCTGCCACAAAACCTCTGACCTACAATCTGCCCTGCCTGCAAGATGTACTGGGGTAAAAGTGGTACAATGACTGGTCCAATATGAGGCCCACTTCACAAAAGGGAGCGCATGCCTGGCACTGCCTGGGTAGCCAGGAACAAGAGGTTGGACAGCCTAGAGATCCAGGTTAAGAACAAACCTGATTGGCAAAAAAAAAAAAAAAAACAAGGACATCATTCTTAATGATAACCTGCTCCTGCTATACTCATAGATCAAACCCTAGCCCAACTGTAATCAGAGAGGCTTCATCCGGCAACTGATGGGAGCAGATGCAGAAACTTCACAGCCAAATACTATGCAGAGCCAGGGTAACCCATAGAAGAGGGAGAGGAAGGACGGTGGGAGCCAGAGGGGTTGGGGACACCATGAGACCACAGGCTACAAAATCAACTAAGCAGGGCTCACAGGGGCTCACGGAAACTGCAGCAGTAATCAAAGACCCTGTAGAACTCTGAGCTAGGTCCTCTGTATCTGTGTTATGGTTGTAATAGCTTTGTGTTCTGTGGAACTCCTTAACAGTGGGAGTAATGGGTATCTCTGACTCTTTCATCTGTGCTTGGGACCCTTTTCCTCCTATTGGGTTGTCTCTTCTATCCTTGACATGAGGGCTTGTGCCTCCTCTTGTTGTAATTTGTTACGCCACTTTCAGTTGCTATCCCCCGGAAGACGGCTATTCTTTAAGGGAATAGAGGAGAAGTAGATCTTGGGTAGAAGGGAGGCATGGCAGGGGAGTGGGGGGGGACTGGGAAGAGTGAAGGGTATGGAAACTGAGTGTAACCACAATCATTATATACTATAAAAGTGTCAACGAAAAAATAGTAAGTTCTCCTTTTTGAGTTTCATTCAAACATTGACTAAGGCACCAACGTTTATAAAGCACTGATAGACGGGTTAGTTTCTTTTTAGGGGTGTGTGTGTGTGTGTGTGTGTGTGTGTGTGCGCGCGCACGCATGTGCCATGAGTTTATTTGCACACTGGTCCCCTCAGAGGTGAGGAGAGGGCGTAGGATGCCCTGGAGCTGGAGGTGCAGATGGATGCCAGCTTCCCTTAAAGAATGCTGGGAACCGAGCCTGGGTCCTCTGGAGAACAGTTAAGTGCCTTCTCTCTAGGCCTGATAGGCAGCTTTTTATTGTGCACTATTAACAGGAAAATATGGACCCTATTTACTAAAAACAATTCCAAGCTTATTGATAGTTGTTCCTGAAAAATAAATGACCATGTACTTCATAATGCAAGCCAAAGCCTAGCTGGATTGGTTTCCTTTTATTGCTAACACAATTTGTGGTTATCTTTAAATACATTAAGAGGGCTGCATCTTCGGGGTATATATGTGCACTATTTCAAGTGAGACTTAATGATAGTTTAAATGCTAAAGAGGCAGGCGTGGGGGAGCATCCTATTATGGCTGGTCTTGACTGTAAACTAGATGAGATTTAGCATCGTCATGGAAACAATGCTCTGTGCGTGTCTGTGGGGGAGTTTCCAGATCGTGATAAGTGGGAAGCCCCTGAATGTGGGTAGCACCTTTGCTTTGGCTAAGACACTGGACTGAACCAAATTAAAAACGAGCTGACCACCAAGCTTTGCCCTCTGCCTCCTGAGTGTGGGTGCAGGATGCTTAGCCACCTCAAGCACCTGGATCCCCGACTCCCCACCATGACGGACTGTGTCCTCGGGAAAAGCGAACCTTTCCTTCAACTGCTTTTATCAGGCATCTCCTCACAGCAATGAGAAGAGTGACCGATGCCAACTTGCCATGAAAGAGAGGAGATAAAGGGACACAAGGCAGCAGTCAGCTTGGAAGTTTTTCTCCCCCTCAATTCCTAACCCATCTGTAGAGTTCAGGTTAGGATTTTCAGTATCATAACAATATTCTACAAGCTTTATATCATACCCTTTTAGATGAGCTTAGAAAACTGTACAGCTAAGTCTACAAAGTTAGATGCCTGGCACCATCATTCACATAAACACCAACCCCCAAAATGAACTCATTCAAAAGCTGATGTGCTTCATCCCCTGAAGATGGCTCCTAAGTGTCTCCTCTCACGCTCAATGGAAGGCAGCCTCTTCTCAGGGAAACTGAATGGATCTCTCAGACAGAAAACATGACCCAGAAGGGGCAAAGGACAGACATTCTCCCCAAAGACAATTGAAATGGGTGGACAACTGTGCACCTCCTACATGGCCCAAGATAATTTAGAGCTGCCCAGTCCCGTGCCTGGCTTTCTGCTATCAGGTATCTTCTACCTCTCATCTTCTGGTTTCCTACTTTCAGACCACTTGTTCGGTTCCAATACTTGCTTGCACCAAGGCCATTGGTTCTCAACCTGTGGTCTGAGACCCCTTTGTTGGGCCGCATATCCAATATCAGACAGTTACATTACTATTTATAACAGTAGCAGAATTACAGTTACGAAGAAGCAACAAAGTAACTTTATGGTGTGAGGCACCACTGAGGAACTGTACAGTCAAGGACAGCAGCATTGAGAGCCATTGCCCAGGGCTCTAAGGCCTTCAGAAAACTCAAGGAAAGCCTTGCCTTGTCCCAAAGATCAGCCAAAACAAGATCCCTCTGCAAGACAGTCATAAAAACATGTATTTAGTTTGCTATTTTACCTTCTTTCCACAAATTTCTCCCTTCCCTCCAATACCTATCGCTTCTCACTCTGCCACTTTTGTGTTCTTCTCCATCTTCCATGGGAATACCCTGGAAAAATGGTGAGCAAGCTAACACTGCTCACACAGTGGGAGGGAGGGAGGGAGAGAGGGAGGGAGGGAGGGAGGGAGGGAGGGAAGGAGGGAGGGAAATCCCTCATCAAAAGTGAAATGACTTTTTTACTTACAAAGTGATGGGGCCTGTGTATCTAAAAATCTTAGTAAAACATTCTGGAAAACAGGCAAGCTAGACCCAGCAAGCGAGGCTGAAGAAATTGACTCCTTCTCATCCAGGACTTCCGAGTCACCACATCTCTGAGGTTAAAAACAAACAGAACGGTGCATGAGTACAGTTACAAGAGATGACGATCTGCCAGCTCGGATAAACATCCGAACTCTTAGACAATCAAGGAACTGAGACTTCAGCACCATCTGAAAAACACAGGCCACAGAGAGTATCATTTCCAATAGAGGAAACCAACCTCTCGGCAACAGATCCAAAGAACACCCCGGGGAACGTAATCTGTGTAAGCTGTCATTTCTGTACAGTAAACTCTGCACTATTAGTAGTGCCCCCACTGATTATACAAGACAGTGCAATTTAAATATTCCTTACTCCTAGGCACAACTGCTGGAAACAGCCTAAGTGCAAGTCTACTGCTTTTTCCTGGGCTCTCTGGCACACGGTTATGACTCCGGTTACTGTGTTATGTTTTTGTCAGGAAGATGCCTATAGAATGTGTGGTAGGAGCTGTCAACTGGAAAAGCAAACAGTTCTTCCAAAAACATTCTTTTGCTTATTTTTCATACTTCAACAAAACTGGGACCTCCTGGACTCTCCGTGGCTCAGGAAACATCTAGAAAAGCCCTATGGAGAGCCAGATCATCTATTCACGCCACAACTTGAGAAGCCCAATGCAGAACCCAGGCCAGGACGGACAAGGTCACTGTTGTCAAGCTGGCGTTCTGACAGGGACATCATCGACTTTCACTGGTGCTGCAGTGAGGAAAACGATGTGGATATGGTCACAGGGCAATGGCAGACTTTCCGTCACCTAGGAAACGTCATGTTACCTAAGGATGTCCCACAGGAAGATGCTTAATTAAACACCAGTGCTCTGTGGAGGGACAGTGGACAAGAAAATGTTCAGGAGCACAATTTGCCACCCAGAAGGGACAGCCAGAGCAAAGGCCTGAAAACAAAAGTAAGTTGTATGTGGTGAGGGGACAGACAACCAAGATCAGGGTGAGAATTGTAGCCCCCAGGACAACAGGTTCCAGATATTGTAGGAAAAGGTGGGTAGGGCAAGCAACAGGAAGTTCTGTGGGTCTTAGAAACTCTGTCTGCCTTAGGAAGGGAGAACTACGATCAGGCCCATTTACACTTCTAGAAGCGCACTCTGGGGTCTGGTAGAGGAAAGGGGAGAGCACCGTGAAGCAGAACCGCATGGGAGGCTACAAGTCATCAGGGTGCAGCAGCTCACACACATTCCCTTGGCCACTGGGCTAATATTTACTTTAAAAATGTTCACTTAACCCGGCTGTGGGGGCACACACCTTTAATACCAGCACTGGGGAGGCAGAGGAGGGTGGAACTCTGACGTCGAGGCCAGCTTGGTCTAGAGAGAGAATCCAACGACAGCCAGAGCTACACAGAGAAACCCTGTTTAGAAAAAAAACAAAAAAAAACAAAAAAAGAAACAAAGGAAGGAAGGAAGGAAGGAAGGAAGGAAGAAAAGAAAAAGGGAGGGAGGGAAGGGGGAGGGAAGAAGGATTCATAAAATATGAACCTCAGTGTCACAAAACTGGGTTTCTTTGTTCTTTTCAGATGTTAAAATTTAACTTTAATAGATACAGTTCTTAATTATTCTCAAACTCAAATTATTCAGTGTCTACTTAGATCCTACTACCAGTCTTGAGAAGATGACATATCCCTCCCACGCCTTTCTCAAGACAAAGAAAGCTAACATAATACAGAGAAGGGCCAAGATGTCCCTCCTTGGAGCAGTATTTTAAGCCTACATCAGGAATAAGTAGAGAGAAGACTGGACCTACCTCTGCCTCGATCTCTGCTTGCCTTTTCTCCAGGAGTTTCGCCACGGCCATGGCCCTGTGCTTGCCAGATCGTTTGCAGCTCACGGCCCACTCACATAACAACGTCACCACCGCTTCGTCATTGGGGGCGACCTAGTGACCAAGAAAAATGCACCAACCGTATCACAATGATGCAAGCGAGGGCTACCTACACCTTGAAGCTTCATTCCCAAGTTCTACTAGCAGATATTTTCAAGTTGTTTTAACTTAGCAATAAAAAAAAAAATCACTTAAAATTCACCACGGTGTGTAACAACTCCAAGAAAGCCAGAGTTTCCTTAAAGAGGCCTTGACGCTCTAGTATTGAGTTTCACATCCGCACAGGGAAACGACCACCGGACTCTGAGAGCCGCTGCTAAAAAGCCCACATACCCAACTCCACGGTTAGGTGGTCAGCATGTGGACTGATCTGTTTGTCGTGTAATCCCATCAGACTTCGCCATTAGTGAGAAATTAGGAGAAACAAACCATGTGTGGCCCACCGCGCTATAAACCACAACCATGAAGAGGGGAAGCCAAGCATCCAAAGAAACAAAACCTGCAGGCAGACCTGGTCAGCAAATCGCCCTGGCTACATGCAGAGCGGTGTCAGTCCGGGGACGGACTCCAGCGACTGAGGAGGAGGAGAGGGTTTGGTTTCAGGGACCCAAGGGACATGAAACATAGATGGTGGGATTGAGGGGTGACAGAAGAGAAAGCGGGCCTCTGCTGTCACCTTTGCTTTACAGCATCCATGCCAGGACTGCAACCTTCTGGCCACAAGACTGCAGTATTTCTCGTGAGCATACACATTATGATAGGAAAAGTAGAGGACCGCAGTGTTAGCACTGAAACACAGCACTGGACAGTCCCCACACTTTAGAACTCATAAGCTCAAGTACGGTTATGATACAGTTATGAGAGCAATCCCAGGAAGCATAATCACTCACATAAACCAAGGCTTACGGACCCTGACATGGATAGGATTCCAGAATGAAAATGGATGAGGAGCTGTCGATACTAGCAGTCCATTCAAATCCTAAACCTCTTATTTCCCTTTCCTAGCAGGTATCAATTACAAATACTTCTTGACTAGAGGGAGGACTTAGGGTCTACTTCCCTGCTCAGAGCTGGGGTTCTGTCCAGCTCGAACCTGTAAAGGTCTGGTGCCTGCTGTCACTGTCTGTGAGATCCGACGTGCATCCGTTACACCTGGAAGACACTGTTTTCCTGAAACCCTCCACCACCTTTGGCTCTTACAATGTCTTTTCTTCCATATAGATCCCTGAGACTTAAGATGAGCAGACATTCCATTTAGGGCTGACTGTTCAAAGTCTCTCACTCTCTACACATTGTGCAGTTATGGGTCTCTGTGTTATTACCCAGCTCCCACGGGAAGTTTCGCAGATATGGATTGAGCAATGCACGCTTCTATGGTTACAGCAATATGTCACTGGGAGACATTTTATTGCTTTGTTCATTTAGCAAAATAACACAGTAGGTTTTCTCCTAGGCCTGTAACCTATCTCGTCTCAGGTCCCAGGTCACTCAGTGTCGGGCATCCACACTCCAGGGAAAGCCACATACATGTCCAGGAATAGCTGGCTAACACAAAATAAACTCCATGTTTTGAGGAGTTGTTTTTTGGTGTTGTTAGATTTTTTTTTCTTACTGCTCTTATTGTTTGCTTTGATTTTCATTTCTTGGGGGGTTTAGATTTTAGATTTAGTAGGTCTTTTGTTTGTTTTGTTTGTTTGCTTGCTTGCTTTGCTTTGAGAAAGAGAGCACACAGGCACACCTGAAGTTGGTTAGGTAGGGAGATGAAAAGGATCTGAGAAGAGTTGGGAGAGGAGAAAACAAGGTCAAAATATACTGTATGAACGCATTTTTAAAACTTAAAATGCTCTAAGACTTTTCTCCAATGTTTTTAAATTTTCTCTACATATGTACTGTTATTATTTTGGCAGACACCTTAAAGGGAGCTCTAGGTCTCTTAATTTAAGAGACCCAGTGCCTACAGTGTACAAGCAAGAGGGATGGATGCAATGAAAGGCAGGAAGACATCCTCTACAAATGAGAAGGCAATATTAGTGAAAAGCTGAGCCCAGAGGAGAGAGGAGCTCTATAAGGCCATTCAATGAGGGAATAGTCCTGGAAAGGTTCAGTATAGGACATAACGAAGACATTTATATTTTGATAGTCTCAATGCTCACAGCATTTTAATCTAGATGGAAGAACTACAGTTTCATCTGATACTTTTAGAGTACAAAAGAAAAGTATTATTTTAAAAGAGAAAGGACCTGGGCCATGAAGAAAAATGACAGGCTTTCTGATAAACAACAATAAATGTAACAGACAGAAAAGCCCTATTCAAATACAACAAAAATCAAATACCCTACTACAAACTTTGGGTATAACCCCTACTCTCGTGACTACTGTGTATCGGACATTGTGTTCTGCCCTAATTAGGTGTGACCTCATTTCACACAGAAGCCTGAAAATAGCTACTGTTCAAGATATGGTGAGAAATAAAGACCAGCATCCTTTGTCTATCCCAGAACAAACCCTCCAAACTACCAAACTCTGAATCACCCATGGCTGGCCACAAGGTAATCCCATCTCTGCTTGCTATTTACAAGCAGCTGGTAACAACTGAAGCACATTCCAGATCCTTCATTAAAATCCAAGTTCATTCATTCTGTATAACTTAACAACAACAACAACAACTATGTCACTATTCAGATCAGAAAGCTGGGTTTCATCTTTCTCCAAAACCCACACCCCAACTATAAATTCCTTGGCCACCCCCTCCTGTTGCACCTGATTGTCCCTGTAGTTCCCTAGAGCTCCAGAGAACTGACTTCAACTCTATAATGAGGCTCAGGGATCCTTGCTGACCAGAGAGATTCTAAGAATGCATTTAGGTTGTCCTACAACCAAATTTCTAAAAGCCTGCTGTATACTGTGAATATGTTTTATTACCATTAATTAATAAAGAAGCTGCTTTGGCCTATGGCAGGGCAGAATATAGCTAGGCTGGAAACTAAACAGATACAGGGAGAAAGAAGGTAGAGTCGAGAGAGACACAAGTAGTTGCCGGAGAACCAGGATATGAAGTAACAAGTCATGAGCCTCATGGTAAAATATAAACTAATAGAAATGGTTCCTTTAAATTGTAAGATCTAATTAATAATAAGTCTGAGCTAATAGGCCAAATAGTATGTAATTAATTAATATTAAACCTCTGAGTGGTTATTTTAAAAGTGGCTATGGGACCAGGCAGGATGAGAGACCTCCAGTTACAACATCATCAATCAAAAATTAATCAAAGTAATTTTACACAAGTCCATAAAAGGCTGAAAATGCAGTTAAAGTTCACCTAACTGGGGGGGAGGGGGGGCTGCACACTGGTGTTTGAATAGTAAACGTAAGAAAGCTACACAGCAGTTTTAAAACTGGAAACCTTCCTTAACAACATATTCTTTAAGTAGTGCCCATGCGGGATGATGTTATTAAGTGCAATGCTGGCTTAGGCTAAAGAGAACCTTTTCCAGAACTAATTTGTTTCATAGAAGGGTTAGAAAAGGGTATTACAAAACAGGTGAACCCTGTATTTCAAGTGCTTGTTTATTCATTTAGTATCTATTGAATACGTTCTTATTGTGAGGTTCTCTTCTAAGCACTGAATAGAAATGCATTCTCATATTTTATTTTAGAGGAAAAGAGATCGGTGATATCCTTGTAAATATTATTTCTAATATAGCCACACAATCTTTAAAATGTTCATATAATTTGTTTCAGTAACTTAATTTCTGAGGAAAAAGATATGGGAAAAAATTTAAATGATAAAAGAAATGTGTGCTCTGGGCATCTGCAGGGTGTGCCACCAAACTGATGCTCCTGCTGATCCCTGCCTCAAGAACTGGCTGTGACTTGGGTAATGAGATAAATCAAAGAAACGTGGGATGATTTCAAAGGCAGACAGCAGTGCATACAGAAAGTTCATGGGCAAAACAGTCCGTCTTCAATAAAGGAACTAGAGGAACGTTTGGGGTCGGGATTTGCCTTTGGAGGCAGTAATGGGTAGGTTTTCATTCTGGTATAATTCTAAACTTTTACAGCATTCACCTCTTAGCTTTTCAATACACACAAGCAAACAGGGCACAAAAAAAAATGGTGGGTAGGGGAGCCCAGCCTGAACTATAGCACACAAAGGTAAGAACAGGGAAAGGTGTGCCGAATTATCAGGCCAAGCCCGAGCACAAATTAAAACATGTAATCAGAACAATACATATGACTTAATTCCCAGTCAGACTGAGCATATACCACATGCCTTTTTATCCCACCACTCGGGAGAAAGAGATAGGCAAAGCTGTTTGAGTTCCAAGCCAGCCTGGTCTGAGTTCAGATCAGCCAGAGCTGTCTCAAAAACAAAAACATCAAGATGATGAAGGCAATGAGGAGGAAGAAGGAGAAGGATAAGCGATAATTTCTGGCCAAGAGATTGGATTAGAAATAGAGAATGTTTACAATGGGGCGTAGAGGCTCTTATTGTTTTACATACATGAATTCTACTCTTCAACTCTAAAGTAGCTGTTGCTGTTCTCATTTTACAGATAATTAGAAAACACGTATCTGCTGTAGCATGCTGATGCTCAACCCTACAAGGAAGCAGGTCCTAGAAGGCTGCAGACCAGGCAACCACTATAGTCTCTGGACTAGCCCCAGCTTTCCACCTCTAACCTGACTTAACATGCAGGAGTCAAAAAAGAAATGGGACCAATGAGGCCTCTGGCACACAGGAGATGGAGGGCAAAGAATAGACCTTTGATACAGGTGTCAGAGACAGTCTAATCACTCAGACATGAACCACTGTACAGGGTCACATCTCCAAGCATTTTTAAACAGAAGAATCAGCATATAAGGTAATAAAGTGTGAATTGTCTCTGGTAAGGTTAGAGGGGGACCCAAGGGCTATGGGGGAAAGACAGGAAACAGCCCTGCCAGCTGGCCACACCCATGTGTGCACATCAGAGGGTTAGTCAGCACACCTGTAGAAAGGCGCTGCCTGATCGCATCTCTCCTGCGGCCGCCTTCCGTCCACCTCCCTTCCC